CAAGTGGTGTCATATTATTTTACCTTCCTTTGTTACTTATGAGGCGGTGTGATAGAGTGGAAAGGAAATGTGCTCTAACATCACAAGGGAACAGTTTTATTTCCTGTCCTGAAACTTCTAGGTGAGTGATGTTGAGCACATTAGTTATTGTACGATGCTTTTCTGAAATGGTACAAACCCCACTTCATAAATGCGATTAATGTTACTCTAATTTCTATCTATGGATTCCATCCAGCCATCCTAGCAACAGCTGCTTGGCAAACACCCGACTTTCCACATACTTCCCATTAGTGATCTAATCTTTATTTTGAAAGGATTTCATGTATTAACACTGAACTTTGCGTTCTGACGTAGATTGTCCTGAGTAATAATAGCTTTCAATTTTAATTCTGTTTTTTCTCTTTGGATATACTTGGGCAAATTATTGAAACCAGAGCCTTCCTTTTATTCTGTTTCAAATGCGGTTTGGCATAGTAATTTCACAGGTTTATTATGAAAGTCAGTGAAGGACAGACTATATGCCACACAGCAACATAAATAAAGGATGATTACTGTTATTAGAAAGAAGAGCTCAGTGAAGTGTCGGCTCTGGGTCTGGTCCTGTAGGTCTCAGATGTTGTGATGGTGGTTGTGCCTCTTATTTAGACTAAAATTGGAATGAGGTAGATTTAAAGACTTTGTTTTCGTTGTTAACAATGCAAAACAAACATCAGTATTTGAAGTCTCTTTAAATTTATAATAGGTCATGTATTTATACATACAATTAGTTTCATGTTAATTGAGAAAATAAACACTGAAAGATTCTTTTTTGGAATGAGTACAAGGTATATAAACATATGCCCATGGTTAGTTATGGAAAGGCATAGAAGACCTGTGGGAAATGTTATATGTATTTTTATTATCTTACTAGACTTTTCATATTGGAGATCTACACTTAATATAGTTTATTTCCCTAATGAAAAAAATTAAGGTGATCTTATGTCTTCCCAGCTGTTATTAAATTCACTAGTTCTTTGACTTTATTGGCTGACAGAAAAACTTGATGCCTATTTTTCTTTGAAATTAGGAATATTTTTCTTTCAAGAACTCTTTCTATATCATTTACATATTTTCATCAGCATGTCACATGAATTTGGAGTTTGACAATGATTCCTTGTGAGACCTCTCAATTCCTTTACCTTCCTTTATTAGGCATTGATGACATTTATAAAGAGGAGGAATGAGTTCTTTCCTTAAGAAACATAAAAATTTCAGGGATGATTTAAAAATCACAAAATTAATATATAAATTCATGCTAGTGAAGCATGATTATTTATAATCTAGAAGGTTTTAAACTTCTAGACAAAGCAGTCAAAAGTCATTGAACTAGTCTGTCACAGCTATTTGAGACCTAAAATACAAATGGCCCCCGTATTTGAGGGAAGCAAGGGGTTGTCAGTCTGATTGGAATAAGATGCATGTAGAGCAGTGGTTGGGGCTGACCTGGGTGGGGACTTATGATACACCAGACTGAGACATCAGAACAGCAAGATCAGAACATCTAGATGATGCAGATATACTCCAAAAGGGGCTTTGGTTTTCCAGCTTACAGATGATGCTGAACAAAGGTTGTCCAGTAAAGCAAAGGATGCAAAGCTACCTCTTGTTCTGTGTATTTGATAGATGTGGTCACAGAAAGATTTTAAAGTGAAGATTTTAAAGTGATGACCAATATAATTACTGCATTTCTGTTGAATTTATTCACTGTGAGCTAAAGACATCAACCACTCCTGATGACATGGTGCTGAGTTACCTGGGCAATCGTATCTACTTTCTTTAATATGTATTCCCCTAGTCGGTGTCTTAACTGCAGTTTCCATTACTGATAATAGGATTTTAAAATATGGCTCAGCAATGATAATAAATGCTGTTTGGACAAAGCAGCTCAATCCTCATAATGTCTTGTTTCTTCTCAACAATTTAAATAATGAATTTATGAGAAGAGCAGATTTTAAAGAAATATGTCAAATTTTCCAATATTAATGCTCAGCTTGATGATGAATCTGACATTAAAAAAAGGAAGAGTCATGAAGAAGTGTGTGCAGGAATCTCCAGGAGGGTATAATAGAGGACAGGGGTGGAGATACCATCTGTATTATCAGAATTTTATATATCTGTGTAAGAAGTAGAGGCAGTAAGCATGGTATATTTGATATCTACACCATGAAATGAATATGATACCAGATATATTATGTTCAGGCTTAATATAATAGAAGGATGTACCTTGATCTTTTTCTAGTGAGAGAACTCCAGAAACCACTTGAACAGGTAGGAGGGAAGTGTGATTCCAAAGTCCTTGTGGTTAAAATTAAATAATTTCTTGATTTGAACTATGAGCATTAGAACTGTTAATTCATTATGACTAGAGAAATGATTTCTTAAATTTTTATTAGAAGAATAATGACCTGGTTATATAAATTAGAATGAGACATAGGTTAGAGATACTGAAGTAATCTAGATGTCTAATGTTACCACAAGTATGGTATGTAATCACTGGCCAAAAATCTGTTGTAATTATAGACCACCAATATCATTGAAATTATTTTTCATTTTATAACAATTTTTTCTTATTTGAGAATTTCATGCATGCATAGAATGTATTTTGATCAAATCTACTCTCCATTCTCTCCCTTCCAGTAATTTCCATATCGTCCTCCACTGTCCCTCCCAACTTCATGTGCCCTTTTCATAAACCCATTAATTAAATTTAGAAAAGACAAGGAATTATGAGGGTTCAACTTTTTGGTCCAAACACATTTATTGTACTCACTGGGCCATATTTAAAAAGTGCTATTATCAATTATGGAAACTGAAGATAAGATATTGATTAAAGGAATACATAGTAAAGAAAGTAAGATAACCCAGGTAGCTCCAAATTATTTCATCAGAAATAGTTGATATCTTTAGCTCCCAATTGAATAATCTCAATGGAAATACACTAATTATATTAGCCTTTAAAACTAGAAATTTCTTTCTATGGGGAAAAAAAGTTGTGTGTGTGTGTTTTCCAGACTCTAGGACCAAGACTAAAGAATGGAAACTATAAGAGAGAAAAGCTTTGGCTTCATTTGGGGAAAAACTTTCAAATGATGAGTACCTTTGCCAGTGAAATGAATTGCTTTATGAAGTAGTGAATTTCTGTATTGCAGCAATCCAAACATAGTTGGACTCCCACTACGTAGGAATTTTTAGAATATTGACGTTTTGGTTTTGTGTGCCCTGTAGAAGAAATGTTGTGCTTGACTTGTTTTAAGTTCAGAGAATCCAGAACTCATGATTTTGGGTAGTGATAGTGAGAACAGAATAAAAATAATCCTTTTTTCTTTCCTTACCTTTCCTGTCTCCAATACGGTCTCCTTTCTTCTCTCGCTCCATCCCTCTCCTTTTCTTCATTCCTTCATCCTCCCTCCCTCCCTCTCCTCCCTGCTTTTTCTGTTTTACCTTTTATTCTCTCTTCCCACCTCTCTCATATTTCCTTCCTCCTAGCCTTCCCTTTTTCTTTCTGCCTTACTTGCCTGAAAATGTGATTTGTGCCAGATGCTCTGTGAAGTTGTTGGAATGAGTGAGAAACAAGGCAGACGTGAAACTTGCATTGGGACTTGCAGTGTTTTGGAGCTAGATAAGATCGGTACTGCTGCTAAATGCTGGGGAAGAGCCTAGACATCTGTGAACATCAAAGGATTCCTAATCTACTTTGGGAAGATGGAAATTCATGGGGAGAGAGGGTAAAGATATTTCAAAGAATCTGTTAGAAGTAAGACAGTGATGATGGATTATGCCACCATTCTGAGGCTGCATCTGGAAAGAGTGGCCTACTTGAACGAAATAACTTGGGAAGGTGTGCTGGCCTGGCTTTGACCCACTTACTGAGTGGGAAATACTAAAAAAAAGTGTTTTTCCTCTTGTTTTGGACATGTTGATGTTGGCATGAAGTACTCCTTAATAACATGAACATGGCCTTAAGTTACTGTTATTTGGCTACAGTTTTATTTTAGATATTAACCCTCCACTGATAATTGTTTTTGAAATAACTGTAAAAAGTCAGTTTTTAATCTTTCAATATTGCTAAGAAGTGGAATTTTATGTTACTTATAGAATAATAAAGAAAAGAGTTAAACAGAAATAATCTCATTTCTTATTAAGTATTCATAAAGAGATTCAAATTCATTCAATGTGTGGATATTCTCATGTAGTTTTAGTCATTGCATACATGTTTTCAATGAGGTTTGGATCTAAACTAAGATTTGAGTAAAAATGTACACCCAGAAAATTATGAGCCAGTTCTCCAAACATTACCAGAGACATTAAAGTTTAAAAACCAGGGTGCTGGAGAGATGGCTCGGTGTTTAAGATGGCTAACAATGGTCATAACTCCAGTTTCAGAAGATCAAACGCCTTCTTTTGGCCTCCGCAGGTACCAGTCATGCACATAGTACACTTACATATGTGAAGGCGAAACACTCATCCACATATGATAAAATTTTTTAAAAAAATCAAGAGCCCTTTCATTATGGAAAAATTCAATAGTTTGCAAAGACATAGACTGATAGATTGAATCTCTGTGTCCCCATCAAAAGCTTCAAAGATTCTCAATGCATTATCATTAGTCTTATTTTATCTAGATCCCCATCTACTCACATGCCAGATTTATTTTGATGACAATATGAGAATCATACAATTTCATCTGGAAATATTTGTGTATGCCCAAATAAGCAATCTATTGTATATGCCAAAGTAGTCAAAAACATAACCATTATAACCATGTTATAGTATTTAGTAATAGAGATAGAAGTGGTGCCTCATTTTAAAAGTCACTATGATTGAAAAAAATTATTATTGTAAGGCAAAGTTCATTGAGGAACACCTTTGGAGTTACCGTAATATTTTGTCAATATAATTATTTTAAAATATCATTACTCTTTTTTCTATGTTATGGAAATTTTTTAAATATTTTTGAACAGGTCATCAAGGATCCTCCACCACCACCTCCAGCACAAAAGGAGGTAAGCCTGTAAAGTGCCTGTAAAGTAAATGTAAATGTGAATGTTATTGTCAAATTAGATCAATTAGACTTGCTCTTAAGAAACTGATAGCTAAGTGTATGGGGCTTTTACTTTGTGAAAATCAGCTGTTACTTTTTATCTTACAGTGTCTGTCAAGGGATATAGGAGTGGGCTCTTCATTGGTAGACAAAGACTGGCTACAGGATCAATAGTATATAGAGATTTAATGTATTTTATAAGGACATATTAATAGTCCTGATTACACTTATCTATAAATAGTTGAAATAGCCATGCTGGCAATTCTAAGATGCCATCACTTTCTTCAAAGTGGTAATTATTTTTAGATTACTGTTAGTCAAAATCATACTAGCAGCATAAACTAAGGAATGTTCTGGTGTTGTGCATGTTCAGAGCTTCTCAAATCTTTATCTTCTTACTGTAGATTGCACTTTAAATAATTATGGAGGTGCTGTCCTAACAAATTTTACCTTTTCAAGTTTGAACTGATAAATAGGTTTGGTGTAAACAAATGATAATGCTCATAGTTCAAAAAGCATCTTCTGTTAACATAGGGGTAACCTACCTAAAGTTTGATGAAGGGAAGTAGTCTTCATATCCTGAAATTTATGTATGCAATTATAAATGTACACATATGTAATTTACAAAACAACAATGGAGTCATTTAAAATATCTAAGTGTAACCCAGATCTGATTAAACAATAAGACATTAACTAAACCTATTAAAAATTGTATCTGCATAGGAGGAAGAAGAAGAACCTTTGCCCAACAAGAAATGGCCAACTGTGGATGCTTCCTATTATGGTGGTCGAGGGGTTGGAGGAATTAAAAGAATGGAGGTTGGTCTCTCTAAAATAATAGAAACTACTAATCTGAAACATGTATTTGCAGGATTATTAAGCCATGGAAACTCTAACATTATAATGTCATCATCCATTTTTACATAATATTGGGTCTTTTCTGGGTACATTTCTTTTCTGTGGAATCATTCTAACCATTTAAAAACCATTCAGAAGCTGGTTTCATTAGTCAAAGAGTTGCATTGATAAGATTTCTGAATTCTGGGGATAAAAATAGTTAAGGGTTTTCTCATTATTTTGGAAAAAATTACTCCATCGAACATTAACTTTGAAAAAGCCAAGCACCAAAGTTGCAACAATGCTTCTTTGAAAAGATCTCACAGTGTGATACTATTTGAGGAAAAATGTTAAAATATTCAATAGCATGGATATGACCTCATCACAAATATAGAGACACATTTAAAACTTTCAACAGCTTTTAGTTACCACTTGTGATCTATTCTAATTAAAATTACCTATCATTTATTGTACTAAACTTTTAGACTGACTCAAAATGTACATTGAAATTGAACTTAAATCATAGAGCTTAAAAATCAAGTCAAATGACTTATTCAGTGGCAGAATAAATAATGATTGCCAGCACTGAGACCATGACAGCGGCGTCCACAGATCAGTCCTTCCTGTGGAGCACTTTCAGGATGTTTACCAATGATACACTGGCTTTATTATTAAATGCAGGTCTTTGCATAGCCTTCTTATTAGTTATCATTTTTTTGAAAAGACATCGTTTCTATTTTTGCCACCACTGTGCAAGCCTTCTATTGTGAGCAAAACCCAGTAAGCTAATTACCAACCTCACAAGTGTTTACAATTTTCTCTTTCTATACATTTCCATAAAGTTGAGATTCCCACTGTTTGTGTTTTCACTTTTTCACTTTTTCAATTGCATTTCATCTTAAAATAATGCTCCTTTTGCCTAAGTCCTTGATACTTCATGCTGAAATAGCCCCAGAGATACTGGACTTGTTGCTGGTGAATAATGGTAGGCAGATACTGGGAGCTATAACGTTGGTCTTTGGACACAGATGCTGCATGTGTGTTCCCATGACCATATGGACAACTGGAAATCTCAACATCCCCAAGAGGACATGTTCAGGTTAATTTATTTATTTATTGGATAGCCTTCTTTATTTATTTTTACATAGAAGGAGGCTGATTTCTTTTTCTTTGTCTGCGTCAAAACAGTTCTAAGATGGAAAAGAGAGGCGACATGGATTAGGTGTTCCTATGTATATAACCAGTATACTTTCAAATAAAATTGTTACAGGCAATCATCCAAAGATGACACATCAGAAAACAGCCTTTATTATTTTTTTTTTAATTCAAACATGTGTATAAAAAGATGTTTGTAAGGGGAAAGTTTGATGCATGTGCTAGCCACTTTTTTTGTGACATCAGTCACAAATACCTGAGAGAAATAATTAGAAGGAAGAAAGGTTGATTGTGGCTCAATGCTACAAAGTTTTCAGTTTATGGTCACTTGGCCCATCACTGGGAGACGTTGTTGAGACAGAGCATTATAATGGAGAGGGTATAGCATGCAGAACAGCTCATTTCATGGAGACCACAAAGCAAAGAGAGAAGAAAAGGGATGACGTGCAGGTATATGTTTCCCAGGCACACTTCCTGGGGAACGAACTACTTTCTCCAACTAGGCCTCACTTCCCAGTATGCCATTCTGTTATAAATCCCTCAAGGAATGAGTTCGTTCCTTGGATGAGAGCCCTCAGGCTCCAGTCACTTTACCAAAGTCTATCACCTGTGCATCTAATCCCTGAAGACCAGAGCTTATAGGGACATCTCAGATTCCAACCATAACAATGACACTCAAAAATGACAGACATAAAAAGAAATGTCAAGAGATCCTCTTTTTAATAACAAACGTGTGCCATTTTATATTTATAATGTTTAATCCATATTGAGATTGCTGCATAGAACATGGCACATGAAAATGAGGTAAGAGAATATATTAGTGTGTGAGATTTAACTGATAAAATAATCTTTCTGAAGACAACAGGGATAACATAAACTGTTAGTTCAGTATTCCACCACTGTGACTCTTTCTGGAAAAAAGACAAAAACAAAAACAAAACAAAACAAACAAAAAACCAACAGAAAAAGAGTAACATGAATGGATCCTGGGTAAAAAGAAACATGATTTTATAGATTAGTCAGGTTTGCACTACAAATACCTGAGATAAATCAACATAAAAAGAAGGAAGTTTGATTTTTTTTTTTCTCATGGTTTACCTAAGTTTTAACCCATGGTTGGTAAGCCCTTTATGCTTTGGGCCTGTGATCAGGCAAAACATAGTGGTAGTGATGCATTGGTGGAACAAGCTGCTTCTCTCATGGCAGGCAGGAAGCAAAAAGAGAGAAAGGGAGCATCAAGCACCATCCCCTGGGAGAGTACACTGAAAAGGCTCAAGACATCTCCGGGGCTCCTACACTTAAAGGTGCTGTCACCTTCCAGTAGAGCCAAGCTGATGACCAAGCCTTTAGCACAAGTCCAAAGGGGCATCCAGATCCAAACAGGATGCATTTGCTTTATGTTCTAGACAGCCCGGCGGACCTGCATGCCCCCCATTTCCCCCAGTAGTCTAGAATTCAAACTTCAAGAGGTCCTGATTTTACAGTATGTGAAATCATATCACTGTCCATTCCAGTTGAAGAAAGTTTTTGAAACAGATTCAGTCAATTTTAATGAGCTTGTCTGTGTCAAGTTTAATCTTGGATAATCTTGATGACATTGTATGGAATAGTCCATTGATGGAATGAAAAAGAAAATGATAATGAGTAAAAATGACAAAAATACAGATATTACAAAAAGTAAGCTTAATATATGAAGATACACAATAAAAATCTAGTTGTGAATCAAGCATCATTAAAATTTATCAAACATGAATTTAAAATTGGAGAGGGAAAATCAAAACCATATTTTTTTAAAGCATAACTATTCATACTTGCAAAGTCCTTAAACTGAAGAAAAAATGAATTATAGAAATATTGAGGATATCTGAATTACAGAACAAATCTTCATAATTGAGGTTATGGTAACTTTTTCTAGATTTTAAAAATCTTATTCCTCTTTTAAATTAAATATTTATCTAAACTCTATGGTAATGGGAATTTTCTACAAGCTGGAACTGACTGAGCTGATATTTATAACATCTGTTAGCACAACTGATCTACAATACCTAATAACTTCAAATGAGTGTTTCTGCCAATTCTTCGTGAAACTGTTTTATTCTTAATTTTGAAATTGCTCCTTTATGATATCACCTCTTAGTTATCCAAATATGTGCTGGAAGCTATGGAATCTTGTTGTTTATAGTGAAAGCCAAATGACAATGGAAGAATTTAGCTTTCAAGCTTGCACTTACACTTTTTTCATAATAATAAAGCGAGGCACATTAACTCTGCTAAGATTCTACTTAGCAATCTATTTTTGTTATTCTTTCACCATTTTAAGCCATCTCAATGTGATCAGATCAAAACATTGACATTTACACACACACGGACACACACATTTGTACATATATTTAATTGCTTAGCATCAATGCCTACTCAAGATTTTTCTTTCTGGGTCTTTTTGAGACAGGGTTTCCCTGTAGCTCCAGCTGCCTGGAACTCACTCTGTAAACCAGGCTGGCCTTGAACTCACAGAGGATCTGCCTGCCTCTGCCTCCCGAGTGCTGGGATTAAAGGTGTGCATTTTAAGAAACTTCTACAAGGTATCTTCTAGTTTTAGACTTAGAGATAAGTAATAGTTGTTTTTGGCATTTGTCTATGGTTAAGGTTGATAATAACCCAAGAGTCCTTTATGAAATAAAGTTAGTGAACTCATTAAAGTAATCGCCTTAGACCATATTAACTATAGGCTGTACGTAAAATCATTACAGCCTGGAAATGTCATACTGGATCAGAACTCCAAATAGCTTCAGGTATTTTTTAAATTTGAGAATGGTGCCAGTGATATTTGAGTCTAATTATCATGATCTCTATGATTTTAACTATGAAAGACAGGCTAGGATGCTGTCTATGCAACAAACTATGCTTTCTGAATGGATCTAAATTTTATCTACTTAACATCTGCACTATGAATAATTTCCCTGAGTTGTGACATATGCATTTACCTGGCCATTTGTTTTTTCCCCACAGACATGCATTCCTTCATCAGACCTTATTAATGCTCAAAACTTATCACAAAGACTTTAAATAACCATTGTCAACGTTTTCTTTTTAGATTTTATTTTAATTTTTGAGAATTTCATACATTAGTATTGTCTTTGCATTATTTCCACCCCTCTCAGTCCCCCTGCAACTCCCCCATGTACTCCCACTCCTTCTCAATTTTTTGGCCTCTTCTTTATTATTGCTGCACATGCATACATACATACATTTATATATATATATGTGTATGTATGTGGATATATTGCATATAAATGCAACGAGTCCATTTAGTGGTGCTCATGTGTACTTGTGTTTAGCGATACCCATTTGGGATTAGATAATCTCTCACAGAGCTCCTCCCTGGAGAAAAATGATTCTCTCTCGCTCAGCATTCATTGGTTGCTTGTGGCTCTTCTTGTAGTACAACCCCATAGCATTCCCCCACCCACCTTGGCATGTCAATTGGTTTTGTCATTATACAGATCTCTTCAGACTACCAAACTGTGGAGATTTCATTGTTGCAACTTCCCTACCATGTCTAGAATGCATCAACTAGCAGAAGGTGTCTTGACCCTCTCCCTCTTGCATTCTTTCTGCCCCCTTTTCTGCAGTGTTCCCCGAGACTCAGGTGTAGAAGTTGCATTATAGATGTTACCTTGGGCTAGGCACCTCACTTGTTTTCTGCTTTTGACCAGTTGTGGAACTTTGGAGTAGTTTCCATCTGCTGCAAAAACAAGCTGCTTTTATGAGCAGTGATAGGTACACTTGTCTATAAATATAAAGATATATTTTTAGAATGTAGTCAGAAATTACATGGGTCTAGGGAAGTGACAAAAGTTGATTTTCCTCTACAGTCTTTGACCTTTCCAACAATATTTAACTATGTTTACAGTACCACACATGATTTCCCTCCCAATGAGAGGATCTTAAATCCAATTAGACAGCTGTTGATACTTCCAAGATAAAAGTCCTGCTAATGCACCAATAGAGATAGTTTGTTAGGCCAGTCATAGTTGTGATTCATACACTTTATATCTGGCTTGGATCATTGATTGGTTTTCTCCCTTGGCAGCTTGCATCATATCTTCTGATACTATAAGAGATAGTTCTAGGAGAAGACTTCCAGGTCAATTCTAGTTCAATTGCTCCAAACCTGTGCCCAAAGTATGTCCCATCTTCAGGAATAGCTTCTTCAAGTTCTGTGAGGCAATCAAGGGCTGTGACAATAGCCTGTACTACTTGGGAAGTCTCTTGGACTGCCCTGACCGACAATTCAGAGGATTATTTCCCATACCTGGCACTGTGATTTTTGTTATACAGGCATCAGTTATTCACATGCATTCACATCAATATGTTGTTTTTCAGTAGACTTATTAAATACTACATTTCCTCTGATTTCCACACCACTTAAGCATTATTTATCTCTTTATCTTTTCTCTAAGCCTATATAGCCCTTCTTCCTCCCTCTCCAGTTAATGTACACCCATTTTCTCCATTTCCATCTTGATAACTCCTGTTTCCTACTATCTCTCTCTTCTAAGTTCTGTTTCTTCTTCTCCCTCCCCCCAACCCCAGCCTGGTTATTCTCCATGTTCCTGACTCCTGTGGTTATGTCAGGCTATGTACTCATATCTAAGGATTTGGAGCTAAGACCATAAATGAGAAAGAGCTTGTGTCACCTATTTTTCTAAGCCTTGGCTACCTCACTTATTATAACAATTTCTAGTTCCATCCATTCACCTGAAAATTTCATAATTTTGTTCTTCTTTACTGCTGAATAGAACTCTGTAGTATAAATATACCACAATTCATTATCCATTCAACTCATTTCTGTTTTTGTTTTATTCCCTAAAATTAAGACTTTACAACTATGAGGACTGTGTACTGATTTTGGATTTTTAAATTCAGTCTAGTCATTTCTAAAGATTTTACTGTGTTTATCTAGATAAAGACTGTTATTTGAGAAAGCTCATTTCTCTAGAAAGAAAGCCCACTATCTAGCTTTGAAGTTTTAATGATGTTTAAAAAAAATTAACAATCTCATAAAGAACATTCTAGTATCATTGATCACTCTGAAAGATATAGATATATTTTAATAACTCAACAGGGTCCACTTGAAATTGAAAGCCCTTCTAAAATTGTAGTCAAGAAAAGGTAAAAATATAGAACACATTGCAGTGGCTTTATAAAAAGTTGTGCATAGTTCCTTCTACGGAAAGTACACCTTCATATCTGTACCCAACAATTCAGGTCATTTAAATGCTTCAGCTTTTCTTTTGTCCTTTATTGTGGTGACTGTGTGGTGTGCGCTAGACAGGTCCTTGTATTTCCTCATGGCCTTTTATTGTCTTCTCTCTGACCTCTTTGACCCAGGACTTCCCCACTGCTACTGTTTGATTAAAGTCCTTCTCTAGGGTCTGTACCCTATTCATATTTCATTACACTTAGATTTCGCTCTTAGTTTCTGTTAACTAAAAAATGAAAAAAACAGTAACCCAAACTACCATGCTTTTCTTCAGTGTCAAGAATTCTCAGCAATGAAATTACTGAAAATTGTGGGCTTCCCTAGTGTTCTCAATTCTTTCTTTTCAAAGCAGAGTCCTTTCCAATTTGTGTTTCTCCACCAAATATTTATTTATCAAATAACTATACTCAGGTGAGCATAGGATCCCCATTCAGAAATCTACTTTGCCAAGTGAAATGTTATAAAACTAAACCCTTAATTTCTGACTTAGTCAAAACAATGTGCAAAATCTTGAAGGATTCCTTTTGTGAAAATTTGTACAATTCAATATTATGTAAAAATGGTGAGCCAATTTGTTATTGCCTGCATTCAGATCCCTGCCTTGCCAGTGCCTAGCTGTGGTGGCTTTGGACACATCTCTTAATCTGTTTGTATCACAGCTCCCTCATCTAGAAGGGAAATGCTTACTATCTATCTGTTTGTGTTTTAGCATAGACTGAATGCATGGACTCAGTGGATAAATTCTGGTGATCATCACCATCTAATATGCCCTCCTGTACAGTCTTTCATTTTTATATAAACTGAAAATTGGCTCCTTATTTGAAATGATGGAAAAATAGTTGCATCAAATTGATTAATATTACACTTTTAGATTTATTTTGCACTAGAGCCATATTATTAACATAATAAGACTTGATAAGGACTGAGGCAGGAGGCTATCTGAAGTGTACTATCCAGCCAGCCTGGTCTAATGGGCAAGCCCAAGGTCCCAGTGAGAGACCCTGTTTTAAAAAACAAGATGGACAGCTTCTGAGAAGTGACAGCTGAGGTTGACCTGTGGCTTCCACACACATATGATCATGTGCACACGCACTTGCACACGCATATATATTTTAAAAAAAGGATGGTAACGAGCCCTATTAAAACTCAGAAGATAAGGAATTGGGAATTTTTATGCTTGCTACTCATCTTTTTTATTCTGTTTGCTTTAAAAACAAAACAAGGTCTTCCTGTAGCCCCAGCTGACCTGGAACTCACTATGCAGGTCAGGCTGGCCTCGATCTCACAGAAGTCTGCCTCGATCTCACAGAAGTCTGCCTGCTTCTGCCTCCTGAGTGCGGGGATTGAAGACTTGTGTCACCATGCCTCATCTTCTTACACGGATGGACTACATAGAAGCTTGCGCCTCTGTGACAGTTTCTGACAGCAGTGTCTCCTTCATTTTTAAGGTCCGCTGGGGAGATAAAGGCTCTACTGAGGAAGGTGCAAGGTTAGAGAAAGCAAAAAATGCCGTGGTGATGATTCCTGAGGAAGAGATACCTGCACCATCAAGACCACCTCGGCCCAAACCAACATACCAGGCTCCTCAGACAAAGTGGTACACGCCAATTAAGGTACTTGCCCGAATTTTGTGTGATTGAACTTAAATCTATAGATGTAGCTTTTCTGGTCTTTTCTGTCCCCAAAGGACAGACCAAATAGCAGACATCCATTTTATGCTGTAGAAGCTGTGTACTTTCTTAGCATAAGAGCCTCTAAATTTTTATAATATTTATTAGCTTGCTTCATTGAGGGTTAAGTGAAAAGCACAGAAATTCACAAATCCAATATCTCTTTAGGGTCGTCTGGATGCACTCTGGGCTTTGATCTTGAAGCAGTATGACCGGGTGTCCTTGATGAGGCCTCAAGAAGGAGATGAGGTTTGTGTGTGTGGCTCTTTTAGAAAAAAAGGTGGCTGTGGGACCACTATAGTGAAAGAAGTGAAATATTAATAAAATAATTTAAAACTATTATACTGCAGAAAGGAAATGATATTGACTAGTAAAAATTCCTATTATATAGGGTGCCTAATAAATTATTTTAGGATGCATTTTCAAGCTACAGTTTCATACAGTGCTTTCTAGTAATTAACGAAAATCATAACTATACTCATTGCTTCAACATTTGACTTTGAAGAAGACATGCATTCTGAGTTTGATTTTCCTTTGGAAGAAACAGATTTGGAATTAGTATCTGAAGTCTTTCTTCTGGTATTAAGTAGCAACACGATCTAGAAAAGATATCTCATGGCCATTTTCTTTAGGTATAATATGTGAAGGCGTCTTTAAGGTTCTAAAGCATGTAGAAATATGTAATAGTGACTATAGATACACACACACACACACACACACACACACTCACAAACACACTCACACATACCCTCACTAAGGGAGTCCATTAAAAACCCTGGTTTTGGAAACCCGGCTAAAATCATTCTAGTTTTACAGTTTATTTAATAATTAACACTGTTCCTAGTGTAGCAACATAAGAAAATTGCTTAAAACATCTTCATATGCAGCAGTGGCAGGGTTACTTCAGAGACCCATTGCTCTTCCTAGCCCGGGATGGTTTCACTGTGTCCATCCATCCATTACTCGGTTTTGATGAAGCAGTGAACTCCATGCACTTCAGCTGCTGGAAACTTTAGCTTCATTTAAGTCTGATATGAGATGCTTTTAAAAGAATGAAGTAATTAATAAAATTGGAATTTATCTTATAATGCCAAAACAAGATATAGTATTGCATCATTTTAGCTTGGTGTTTAAAATATGAAAGGATCTAAATTTAAATTTTACTTTCATCAATTTGGGAATATATCAGAAACTTCTGAATTCAGCCATTAGGATGTATACGTTGAGAAAATATTCCTGGAGCTTTGTAGCACATCTTTGTCCTTTGTTAGGACGAGGGGGAGAGAACCTGTTTCTTTATGAGCAGCCTCTTCCATTACCAGGTCACTGTCAGATTCATAATGGATAGTTCCTTTGTCAGGAAATTCATGCCTCAGTTTGAATTCTGGAGCTATGTTTCTGGAGCTATGTTCTAGACTGTTCTTCCTGTTGAAAATGTTAAGACTTTCACCACATTTTGCTTTAAAATTGTTTTCATGCATCATCTTCTTTTCTCTTCCCCAGGTAAGTTATTAGTTTATGTGTTCTGTAATTCTCATCATACTCAGTGCTGTGTATTGAATTAGTAGAGAGAGAGAGAGAGAGAGAGAGAGAGAGAGAGAGAGAGAGAGTTTTGTCCCTATAACTTTATATATGTTGTTTAAACTATTATGACAAAGGTGTTTAGCCTGTCATCATTCATACTAATTTTGATTCAACTCAGTAATTTTTGCATCATGAATATGTACAAGTAATGGTATCAGAGATGTCAGACTTGGCCTTTGGTCTTAAGAAATTTAAAATTTGTTTGAGGAAACATGACATACAAAATATAAGACTTACCTACAACTGGTCAACATGAACTAAATAAGAGACTATGGAGTGCTCAGCCCTAAATGTGATACCTGTATCACACCCTTTCCTCTTAAAGCTCAGCGACAGTATCAGAAGAAGGGGAGGAAGTATTGTAAGAGCCAGAGGTGGTGGATAAAGACAAGGAAACTGTGTTTTCCAGATGCAACAAAGCAGTTGTACATACGAACCCACAGCACTTATGATAGCGTGTACAAGATCTGCATAAGCCCAGGCCAGACACAATCCCAGCAGGGATGGGGGAAGGTGGACAAGAACCCCAGCTCTAGCTGAGGAACTATTGGCAACTGATCGCTGCTAGGAGAGGGAGTTTTCTTTAAGGGAGTGATGCTGGATAGGTTGGTCACGCTCCAAAGGATGGACCTACAACCAAAAGCATTTGGGGAACACAAATTAGACTTGAAAAACAATAATAGAGGACATGACGTTGAGGAGGATACTAGCGTAGGGTGGAGATGGGTGAGGAATCAGAGTATGATCAAAATATAATATATGAAATTCTAAAAGAATAAAAAATAAAACCAATAATTAAAAAAACCACCCAAACTTAAAAAAATATGTAAATAAAACTTAGGGGCTAGGAATCTGGCTCGGTGGGTAGGATTGCTTGTTTGGATGTGGACCTGAGCATGACTCTGCAGCACCTTATAAAAAGACAGGCATGGTTATGTGTGCCTGCGGAGGGCGGGTGGGGTGGGTAGGTAAGCAGATCCCAAGAGCTTGCTTAGCCAAAAAGGTAAGCTTCAGGATACAGTGAAAGTCTCTGTATTAAGGGAATAGGCACAGAGCAATAGGGGAAGAAAGCTGATGGCTATCTCTTTTCTCTCTCTCTCTCTCTCTCTCTCTCTATATATATATATATATATATAATTTATATATAATTTATTTTTTAATGTAATCTGGTACCCTTTTATAATGAGATTAATGTTCATAGAAAGACTAAAGAAACATAGGCTTTTATCTGGGCACAATGGTCATACTACAGTCCAGTCACCTGGGAGGCTGAGGCAGGAGAATCAGGAATTTGAGGCCAACCTGAGTTATATAGTGCGATCTTGTCTTTAAAAAATCAGCCTAAAAAGATAGGCTTCCTACCTTTGAAAGTGGACAGGATTTTGACAGTGGCAATAGGTAGTAAGAACATTTCCATAGATAAGGGATCCTGAGCAAAGTTACCCAGCCAGCCAAAAGCACAGTGATTCAAAGTCTGGGGGTTAGGAGTGAAAATATCTGGGGGAAACTTTAGAAATAGAAGTAATGTTTGAGTTTGGATAAGTTATCATGTTTGTTTGTTTGTTTTCAATATACATTTTTATTGAATTTTTGTGCATTTTATCTAATGCATCTTAATCATATTTAGACCTCCTCCCCGTCTGCCCCCTTCCCCTAGAGCACTCACCAGATTTTATGCATTCTGTCATATATGTTAATATCTATCTAGTCAAGTTTGTGTGCCCAGATGCCATTCAGTGTGAGTTCATCCACTGCAGCCTGTTCAGCCTATCTATGTCACTCTCTTAAAGAAGACCAACTCAACAAACTCCTATATTAGACCCCATTGACCTAGGGCTCAGGAACTATTGTGAAAGAGGGGAAAAAAGATTCTAAGAACCAGGAGTGGTGCATGATTGCAATAAAACAGTCTTTTAGATTTCTGGGAACTTGCTTATATGAATTTATACACTAGTGACAGCGTGCTCAAGACCCATGCAAACTCATACTTGGTTTTTTAATAATAGATTGTGACTATCCATTCCATCACCAGATATTTATCTAGTCCCTAACATACACCAGACATATGGTTGGTACATTAGTTACTTTTCTCATTGTTTTAACAACGTACCTGACAAAAGCAATTTGAGGAAGGTAGAGTTTATTTAAGCTCATAGCTCGAGGTACAGTCCAGGATGATGGGAAAGTCCTGGCATTGAGCGTGGCTCTTGTGTTGTGGCAGAAGTGTGAGGCAACTGGTCATACTATCTCTGCAGTCAGGAAGCAGAGTGGTCAGTGCTGCTGCTTACTGGGCTTTCCCATTTCTCCCTTTTTATTCAGCCTGAGTCCCCATCCCATGGGATGGTGTTGCTTAGGGTCAGGGTGTTTCCTTCCTCCTAGGTTAAAATGCTCAGAAAATGCCTGCACATGAATGTCCAGAGGCTTGTCTCCTCAGTGATTCCAAGCATACTCAAGTTGACAATAAGATTGTTTTAAAATTTTGGATTTTTAGTTTCTATAAATCTGATCTGGTCTATAAATCTATGTATCTTATATAAAACAGCATTTTCCTAATCCTATTATTCAGATATATTATTGCTTTATATGTTGAGATATTAATTATTAACAAGTGGATAAATAAATCCAAAATAGTCCCAAGTTAGCGTAGGTTACACTCCACAACCAATTGACATGGCTATGGTAAAGGTAAGGATCCGCACACGAGCACAGCCTCAGTATACCATATTATTCACAAAAATAATTCATTCATTTTGTTATTTCCTTTTGAGTTTAAATAATGTTTGTCTATTCCTGTATCTAACTAAATCAACCACACAAAATTATTTGTTCAGAAAACAAGGACACTTGGCATGGATGTGCATCTGCTCCATTTGTTGCTAGTGGTGATGTGTGTGTGTGTGTGTGTGTGTGTGTGTGTGTGTGTGTACAAAGACTTTATAGCACATTAACAGTTAGGAGCATATAACCTTTTCCTGCAGACATTTCGAGAAATATTTGCCCCCTTTTTACTTCATATCTCCCCTTTTCCCACGTTTCAAAAGGATTACTGAAACTATCTGATTTCATGTCAAATTCACATCATCAACTACATCTTCTTTATTTGAAAGAACTAATTTCAGTAGGAGTCCCCACGCTACATACATACATGACTGGAACCTGTAGGGCTCTTTGCAACAATTAAGTCATAGGATTAAACTGCCAGAACCATTCCAGTGCTTTAGTGAATGGGTTTCTGTCTAGTGCTAGGGCCACCAGAGGGGCTCAACATTTTACATATGAATACAACATACTATTTTGATTTCATGATCTCTAAAATGCTCTTTAAAATGCTCTGTTCCATCTTTGCATCCTTCTGTGTTTCTTCTTAATTCCATTTTTACTCATCACACTTTCATTTTCAGCTCTGAAATTTTCTTACACCAGTTCATGTACTCCCTACATGTTATGCTAATTTTCTGATGGCATCTTTGGAAGGAAAGAAGCCTCAGTTCCCTGTTCTTATATTGAGATGTATACAGCCAGTGTCCTTACTGATGAAAGCAACTGTATACCTTTGTGATAGTTGTCCCTAAAAGAATTTGTGCCATTTATTTGTGAGAAATATTTCATTGGATTTTAAAAAAAAATTCTGTATAATTGAAATATGAAACTTATCTAGAAGTATT